AAAAATAGATGAGACTAAAAATAGTTGAGACTAAAATTAGATGAGACTAAAAATAGTTAAGACTAAAATAGTTGAGACTAAAAATAGATTTTGATCAAAAGGTATATAAACCAAACCTAAGAGAGTATAGGATCAGTCTTTAGTCAGGGACTTTAAAAGAAAAAAAAACCTTAAGATGGCAGAGGAGTTGACCCACCCATCCAGACTGCACTCAGTTGACCCTAGTGTAATCAGTTGACCTCAGTGCATTAAATTGACCTCAGTGCACTCATTTGACTTCAGTGCACCCAGTTGATCCCAGTGCACTCAGTTGACCTCATTTGCATAATGTCCTAGATTTTGACCCATCCATTCATGCGCCTAAGACTACTCACATTAATTTGTTTTCTTTACTTGCTTCATTTTAATTTAAAACCATTTAAAGAATCTTCAATATCATGTTACTTAAATTAACTTATTTCAAATGTTATCCGTATGCATATACATTCCACTTGTATTCATTTTGTTCAAGATACATTAAATATCTCTTGCTAAATGTTCATAAAAATCCATGATGTTTTGTTTTAAAGTCTTTAAAATGAAAGGTAATGAAATATTGCACAGTTCCGAAAAATGATACTTTATGGAGAATAAAGAAATGAATATATTTGAAAATATTCTGTGAATTATATATTGCATAACAACTGCTTCCTGTTTGGAGGAAGAATGCAGACTCATTTTTGTGATGTCTTAATCAAAGAACGATCATATTATGCCTCTCAGATATTATCAATTAATTAAGTACTTTCTTTAGTTTTGTTTATAATGGTATGAACTCATCACGTTCCGAAATATCTGTCACCTAAATACAGCTATTTTGCGAGCCATGTCCTATTTCTTAAAAGACGTTACCTTCTTCAAAAATATTCTTAAGATGACAAACTCAATCTTATATTTTTAAAAGTAATATTAACAAGCTCATTTTATCTTAAAACTTGTAAAAGCCAAACTTATCAAAGATAATTCTTACTTCTAGCAACCGAATATAGCACTAAACAGGCTATTTGGCTCGAACAAAATTTTCTCTTGCGTTTTAACTTAAAATTTAAAGCTTTCTTTGCATAGTTTATTAAAAAAGAAAAGTATGTTTCCAAGATATGTTGAAAAATTGGGTTCAAATATACAGAAAATGTCATTTTCCTGTACAGGAAGGAAATATTCCACGTCACTACTAACGTCTCCAGAACTGAAAATGTTTTGAATACAGTATATGGAGACGAACGGTTATCAAGCTCACGCAGGTATGTTAAGGCAGTACACAGATCATTTTTCGGCGAATTTAGAATTTTTCCGTAAAATTTAACATTGATAAATCGGAAAAGCCATAGATAAAACATTTAGTATTATTATCCATTGTATAGAAGCCATTGAGTCCTAGGCTAAAAGAAGCACTCCACTACGACGTCATCACGTGACATCTATAAATAGAAAAATTGCCTTAACGAAAAAGTGAAAAGTTCAACACTACCCCGGGGATAATTCATTTCTTTTTGTGAAAATAATTATTTAAAAACATCACTGGGTCATGAAAAGTGCTGCTAGAATCCTACTCTTCCTACACAGAAAAACTTATTCTAAAGTTTCGCATGAAACCTTACCAAAAAATTTACATTTTGTACATACGATCAAGGAATTGTCATCAATACATGTTAACTATACGATTCTAGCAGCATTTTCCAAGTATTATAGAATTCAAGCTTTCGATACAAACAAAAATTATGTTTCAACGTATGCGGCGTAGTGTTGAACTTTTGTATTTTTGTTGTTATAGAACGACAGAGGAAAGGCTGATCGGGATTTTAAAACACTGCCTGTGTTCATTATAAGAAAACATGATAAGAATAAATTAGCGTACCTGATTCTTTATCTTTAATTCCTTATGAATCACACATAAAATTCACGGTATATGCTTTAAAACTCCCATTTCATATTATTTGTTTACAAGAATTCTCGTCACGTCAAGTTTCACTCGGCTAATATTTGATCAAAAGTTATGACGTCATGGATTTGGTATTTAACCCCTGCGATAAATACTTAGCTATTTATACCACCCCCAAAAGGACAAGATTTAGTTTGTATTATGTTTTTGAATTATTTCAATTATTTCTTGAACCTGAAATTGAACTTCAAATACAGATATGAAGAAATCATTATCTCTAAAGTTCACGTCATACAGCTTACTATGACGTCATGTTGTATAGGCATGTAGAGTATCTGGGTGCAGCCTTAACATACCCGCGCAGAAGTTCATTGAAACAATACAAATCGAAAGCAGAGCAAACAAAGACCTCTAAAAACATCAGAGAAGGGACCAGGTGCCATGGAGGAGTGAACATCCACTGCCGACCGGTCACAACCGCCGTGTGCTCTTTGTCATGATCGGTAAATAACGGAAAAATCCGTCGACAATTCAGTGTTTAAATAATGGCCTAATAATAAGCATAAAAAACGTCAATCAGCATATGACTTAATGATAGATTGTATTTGCTGACAAGGTCATTGTGTCGACCATAGAACTTACGAAATGATGACTTTAAACAAAGACCTCTAAAAACATCAGAGAAGGGACCAGGTGCCATGGAGGAGTGAACATCCACTGCCGACCGGTCACAACCGCCGTGTGCTCTTTGTCATGATCGGTAAATAACGGAAAAATCCGTCGACAATTCAGTGTGTAAATAATGGCCTAATAATAAGCATAAAAAACGTCAATCAGCATATGACTTAATGATAAATTGTATTTGCTGACAAGGTCATTGTGTCGACCGTAGAACTTACGAAATGATGACTTTAAACGAGGCTGTTGATATTCTTGTTTGTCAATAACTCACCTCGTTTAAGAAATTGTTCGCACGTAGAGCATGTTCTTGAGTATCGAATCAACTGAGAGATATACACCCCATGTGCAGGTGTTAAGGGTATATTGCTACATAGGTAAGGGAAGTTGCACTGACAATAGAAAAGTTGAAATCATCACGTTTATCATAAAGTTTTGGTGTTAGTTACCATTAACGACTTTTTCTAGTAAGATATCCAAATATGAAACAGATGTGTCATCACTGTCGTATCTTTTACTTCATGTTCACTGGAATATATCGAGTCGACATATACATGTATTGTTAATTGATAATACGTCGTCCATATATCTAAATGTCAAGTTGAAAGCCATAGAATTTATTAAAATATCTGCTTCATATGAATAGAAAAATTTGTCTGCTTATAATGGGGCGTAATTGGTACCCATGGAAATTCCGACAGATTGTTGAAAGACCTGATCTCCAAAAACTACATAGATATTGTCAATCAGAAACTAAAGCATCTCAGTTTTCTATATCAATTTCAGAAATAAAATCATATTGTTAATACTGTCCGATTTCCTCGCTTTTGCAATGTCTTTAACGTCGTTGACTCTACATTATTCTGCCTTATTCTTTCCAAATCTTTCTATTTAGAATCCACAAATCTTGAAATCTAGGAAAAGAAACAATTTATGTACCATACTGACTGTGTTAAATATTGAAACTACACACATACCTGTATACCTGTATATACTACATGGAGAGATGCGGTGCAAAACAAATTTGTACAAAGAACCAGGCACTCACATAGTCATGTGAAACATAGTTCAAATATTGTACAAATAGAAACAGGTAATAACACGGAAATTATTAAAACATAGATACCTACATATGAGGCAATTCAAATAAGTGTCTAATCCTTGAATAAAAGCACTGAATACAACATTTTCTGCATTAAAAGCGTTCCTTTGTGGACCTGTTTGCAAGATAAAAAAAAACACATTTAGAAGGATTTCTATACTGTAAATTATATCCATTGTTTTTTGTTTTAATTTCCATCTTTATTTATGATATGGGCTCAAAAAATCGACGATGAAATCAATTTGATTCAAACCAGAATTTCTTCTGAACCTTTACATAAGATAAAATGGAAACCAACTGAATAAATCAATTTTATTAGAACAACAATCCGGTTAGTGTCTACACGTCTTAAATTTCCTACTTTGGATTGCATGATTCTGCTTCTCAGAATTTACCATTTCCTTGGACCCGCCAACAAAATTACCACCCAGATATTCTTTAAGCGTGTCCCATCCATATTTGTCGACAATTCTGATGTGTGTGTATCTCACTCTCTCTCTCTCTGTGTTGCATTCTAATCATTTTTTTCTGTGGCTTCTTTCCAATTATCCCAATCATCTTGAATTTTGTTATTCTTTACAAAATTGTCTGCGAATTTTGATTCAACAATCCTTGAAAATTTAAGTCAAAGTCAAGTACAACCGCATTATGTAAAGATAAGTATACCATTCATTTAATTCCAAGTAATTTTAAGAATACACTTTCTTCCGATGTATAATACCTGTTCCTTCAATTTCAATGTAAATAAGTTCCTTTTGTCTTATAAAATAGTATTCATTCTAGTAGAAAAGAGACTGAAGGCTTCGAGTATTAAAAAAATGATTTTTCCTAGAGTTTCTTGCAGCTCGCTGCTTGTGCTGGCGTTCCGTATCGTCCTGTTAATAACCAGATTATTAATACTGGCTAAGCAAATAACCAGGTTATTAATACTGGCTAAGCAAATAACAGATGAAAACTAACTAAAATGAAAAAAAAAAAAAAAAAAAAAAAAAAAAACATCACAGAAACGGACAAATATACCTTTTATTGAAATATACAGAAATGAATACGCAAAACATTCTTCTTAAGAATGTTTTTTGAAAGAAACGGAAAGAATATAAACGGTAAGAAATTAATCATCAAATTTCATCATATTGAAGTACCAGTACATTTTGTTTTCAAATATTGCAATTATTTTGTTCACAAAAGCATAATAGCACAATAGCATAAAGAATATATATATATATATATATATATATATATATATATATATATATATATATATATATATATATATATATAAGGTGACTCAATCTTACTTACATTTTTGTCTTTGTGTGTTGCTACAAGAACTACTGGCATGTTTTCTCCGCAGTATGTCCGTATGCTCTGAAGCCAAAACCTAATATAATCTGTGAAAAAAAGAATTACTCAGTAAAAGAGTGTGTTTACGCACGCACACACTCCCACACACAAACTCCTCCACCCCCTCCCCCCACCCCCCCACCCCCCCACACACACACACAGATTGAGGGAGACAGATTTTAGTTCACATTAAAGACTCTTTCTAATTAATTGCTCAATGGTGGTGTGCGACATTTTAATAAACCTCGATATTTTCTGTTAGTTTATGATCATGTATTCAATTTTTTTTTTGCAATTCAATACTACATGCATTTAAAAATCTCTGCTCAGATATTAAGTATCCATTTTCAAGAGATTCGTTTGTTTTAGATTAGTTTGGTATAATTGCAATAGTCATAGATTTCAAGATTTCCTACAACTCTAATTTTTTCCCCATTTAGCTTATGTATTTTTATACATCAAGATTTCATATAATTATAAAATATTTCAGTTGCCATTTAAAGCTAGCAATAATTTAAAACTAGCTGCATATAGTTATTGCAGATATTTCAAAAATGAGTAACCTGGTAGGCTTTTTTTTCAAATCCACACGTTTGCAAATTTTAAGAGCACAATGGTATCTCCATCCGGTCAAAAAGACGATTGTTGAGAAATTCGAGTCTACACTATATGAGGATGTTTATTTAGAGAGAACGTAGTATTTTTCGTCTTAACTAAAAAAATTAATATCACATTAATAACCTAATCCACCTTCTGCGACAGAAAATTTAATGTCCTTTTTCCCACTGACTACGGCAAGGACATACGAGTCATATATGCCCTTTTGGACTTCACATCTCTCGATCGTTATTGACAGATTTTATTCAAGTTAATTGGTAGTGGTGTGGTGTGGGGGGTGGGGTGGGGGCTGGTGGTGGTGGTGGGGTACTGTGTAATAATCGTTATACATATAAAGTCTAAAATTATTTAGAATAACTAGTTATTCTAAATATCATGATTTTAAAAGAAAGGCGTGTAAAGTCGAATAATGACCCCCATAGAATAATGACCGGGGGCCATTTTTCGCCATCGAATAATGACTCCCGGTCATTATTCAACGGCGAAAAATGACTCCGGGTCATTCTTCGACGTCGAAAAAATACCCTTTTGCCCGTAGAAAAAAGTGTCATCACCTAAAGATCTGCATATCCTACGTGAAGAAAAATGAACCCCGTAGAATAATGACGACCCCTTGTGGATTAAAGAGGATTAAAGTTGAAATTTTTAGGGGACAAAAGAAAAATAAATCAAGAGACCTCTTAGCCAAAATGCTCACCTGAGTTAAATTGGGAATAAATCGATGATGTGTTGATCTCATTACATTATACATTTTTTTCTTTTTTTAAGGTCAATGCAATGATTCAGAATCTAGAGGAGTAAAAGATTTATCGAGTCCAAAGGGCGAGGTAAGCATTGTCTTTTGATGGTGGAAAGTCATCGTACTGGTAAAAAAAAAAAAAGGGCAATAATTTGTTTATTGAATTATTCAACCGTTGAATTGACACAAACTGATTAAGCAGACAAGTCAAGTTTCTTGTTAACTTTTGCTCAAGTCCTAGCCAAACACAGTGAGAGAATCGGAGTTACACGTAACATAAGCATAACAAGTATTAATTTTGCATTTGATATCTATGTTGGCGCAATGTAGAAAAAGTAGATGTCAGGCATAGCATCAAAAGGGGAAATGGGACATTATAAGAGGCAAAATGACAAGTTACCTAAGAATCCTCTGATGAAACCCTCAAAAAAGTTTATTGATGCATAAGAGGGATTTTCTTTATCTTTTCTGTATCAAAAGGTTTGAGGTGGGGCAACCAGACTTGCAATGAACATTTTCAAGCGAAAAAATAAAAAAAAATTAACGTACGTGAAAATGGAAGGAGAAGGAAACCCCACACCAACCTTGATTTTATGTACCTTAATGTTATGTTTACCTTGTCTACTCAAGCAGGAAAGACTTTTTTTTAACTATACTGTAAAAAATGAGAGGATTATTACGAGACTTTCAATGAACATTTTCAAACTAGAAATTGCTAAAATTTACATTCAGAAAAAGGGGGGGGGCAATCCCTCCCCCTTCTCCGATTCTTTGTGCCTGAACATTATGTTCACTTCAGTGGAATTCGGATGCAGGTGAAATAACTTTACGGAATTGGTTTCAATCTATTTTTTGTTCAATGTAGGAAAAATAAACCTTATATTCACCTAGAAGGTTTAATAAAATGGTCTGTCTTTAATGATAAATTGAAAGCATTAATCTTCTTCAATATACACTGTATTGAAATGTTTCAATATTTATTTGAAAATGTATCACTGTTTTAAGTGGATATTTTTTTTCAAAAAATGTTCCTCTTACAATTGTGTATCCTATCCTCAGATGACCATGTTAACGGACTTGAATGTACATTTTTACTGGGATTCATCTTTATTACTTCTATATATTTGAAAAGAACTGTTTATAAATAAAATTGAATAGACATTATACGATTGTATATATTTCAGACATGCGGAAATTTTATGTCCTTCTTATGTTTGCACGTCTGCTTCATATTTGAACGTTCTACTGACTACAGACAACAAAGATCAACTAAAAAATAAATTTTCTGAAAAACGGGATAACTTCAGCTTTTTCTATTGACAACTTTCCTTTTTAAGTAGTGATATTCATACATTCATACATTCAGTACATGGTTCTTTGAGGACAAGCGAGAAAGCTCTAGATTGCGTATCTACACAAGACAGTCAGTGCTTGGAACAAGATAGTGTTCAAAACACTGAATTTGTTACGGAATCCATGTTCTGAAAAATCTGGGTTGATCAAAATTCGGCTATGATGGCTATGAAAACAATCTTTGGACGCATTATGTGGAATCGACAAAAGAAAGTGATTAAGAATCTTTTGGAAAAACAGGTAATGCGGCAAAAATGGTCAAGATTAGCTGCGAATCGGAGTCGATCGACCGCGCATGGAAAAATACCCGCTGGTCAGTCAAAAAGAGGCGGGACCTTCAGACTTGGGCGGACATGATGTCAAAGTAGGCTGACTTAGTAAATAAGTTGTTAGTCAGCAAACTCAAGGATTCGGAGAAAATGACTTATTTGATAAGCATTTACGTAAGAGAACATTCTTCGAGTGAATGATGTTATTTGGAATTACTTATGGACGAGACTACAAGATCAACGTACATGTAAACGCAGGTGTGTTAAGGAAACACTCAGATATTCTGACTTGACTAAATCAGTTTTACATTATGACGTCATAGTAGGCGAGATGACGTCAATTTTAGAACAAGTTTTCTTAACATTGGTATTTAGAGATGTAATTGAACTTCTGAAAATGAATGGAAACATGCAAATATTACCAAAAATAAACTGTTTTTGTTTTTGGTATGTTGTATCTGTCACTTGGATCAAAAACTGGTTTCCGGCCGATGACGTCAAAACGTTTTAATAAATTGTAATGGGTAGTGTATTTGGCTATGCCTATCGTCACTGAATCTGAGGGGATATTGGAAAATGGACTCTTCCAATAGGCTGATCACCCCTTTGGTAGGTAGAATAAGCCAAGTGTATAAAAGGAGACGCTAGCAGATGCTAGGCCTCTTCAGACAAAATCAGTCGGCTTGAACGCACAGAAGAAAGCTGAAGACGAGAGGTAATAAAGCCACTCTTTAAGAAATAAACAAATAAAGAGCAAAGGTTAGAAGTTATACACTAGTGGAAAGGGAGCAGTCTAGAGGAATTGTGGTGAGGTACCGGGGCGAAGTAATTCTGAATAAGGATGAAAGAACCTGGTACTTCACAGAACAATAGGAACTCTGGCTGTTCCAGGAACACAGTGCAGATTACCTTGCTCTGGAACCACGGCCTACCAAATTTAAATTATTTGTACATAGATCCAATCAATTACAACTCAGATAGAGTAAGAGGAAAAAATATATATATTAAAGAACCCTTGTCCCTTGTAGAACCCAGTAGGTTTACACATTACATTTTGGTGGTAGCCGGTCAAGGGATAGGGATATAATTTAATTTGATTTTCATTAGATTAATCATATATCTGTAGAAAATTCTTATTCTTTTTGTAATTGTAACTTGTTTGTGGTAGGCTTGTAAGTGAAAGACCAAGTACCGTGAAGGTACCGCGTACAAATTAGGACCTGTGTCACTGTACCTATTTAGTAAAAAAGAACTTTGTTCAAGAGCACTGTGTCCTGTGTACTGGGTTACTGTGTATCAGGTGCCGGGTTCTGTTTAATGATTTAGGGTACTGGGTACCTGTATACAGTGTTCAGGACTGTGTGAGAAGTGTACAGAACTGTGTTCTGTGTGAAGCGTTAGTGAATTCACCAGAGGTTCCCTGAGTTATTATTAAAATGAATATACTGGTATTTGAGAAGGAAATTTTAGCGGATCTCGAAGAGATAGATGAAAAGAGACAAAAACTTAGGGAAACATTAGAGACGTTAAGATCTACACTGTCCATTCACAGACCTAAGGAAACTCCATTATCGGCGGTTGAAACCGTTCAAGACTCGGGGGTGGACATGAAGCAAAGACAACTAGACGATACAGTAGATGAGTTGTCTGCAAAATATTTACGTCATTCTAACACCACGAGTAGTACTGACACCTACAATCGTAACATGGAAACTACAGCGGCTAACTACAGAGAATGGGAAACTCAAAAATATGAACCCGTTAATCAGGAGGAACGAGGTGCTCGCCCAAGGATGGTAGTTATGACTTGCATAAAGAAACTTGGAGCAAGGGGTCTCTTGATAAAGATTATCAATACTACCAAAGATTTTCAACACTTAGACCCCTTTTTTATTACCAGAAACCAGGACTACGAATACACCAACAAGTGTTACATGGAGTTTCACAAAAGACAGTAACCAACTGACTAGTGTACACCAAACTAGGGGACCCGAGGTAACACAAAGCCAAAGCATCAGTAGTCAACAGTTTGGGAAAACTGTTATGAAACCAGCTACTTTTGATGGTA